GAGGGCGTCAGGGCCCGGTGGTTGAAAGCCAAAGCCGGCGCCGCGCCCACCGATTCGGACATCGACCGTATGTACGCCAAATTCGTACCGAAGAACATCGCGGCTCTCGAAAAGTTCTCCAATGTGATAGATGGTAAGGTCGGAGAAGAGAGATGGTGTGATAAAAGAGGTTAAGAGAACTGTTGAGTGTTAGAGAGATGATAAGAGAAGTAAGGAGGAAGGAAGTGTGGAATTCTGCAAAAGATGTTATCGGTATGCGTGTCCGAAGGTGTTCTCAGACCAGTTGCGTTTAAATATTTTGTTTATTTAAATATGCATTCATGATTTAGGCATTTAATCACTTTAATGCACTACAATCATGAGGTTGAGTTCATTGATGTGAATATATCGATGTTCATATTATAGGTTAAAGTTTAAATTGACAAAGCATATAATAAACAGATTTTCGGATAAATGGTCTGAGACTCTTTGGACGAAGGAATGAATGAGAGAGAATGAAGAAAAATAGAATACTGGGAAAGACTGGGATAGACGATAGCAAGACGAAGAGGGAAAGGAAGAGTGGAAAGCAAAACGAATGATTGAGAGAAACGAAGGAGGAAAGGGAGAAAGGGTGAAAAAGTGTCGAGAAAGAAAAAAAGGGAAGAGAGAGAAGGGGGGGAAGGGAATGGAATACTGAGAAAGAATTAGAGAGAAACTAAGAAGGCAAGAGAGAGAAAACATGGGTAAGGAGAGACGCGGAGATTGAATCTACCCAAGTGCTTACCGCTATATGATTTACTAATGATATTTCAGTTTTAAGTGCATAAGACTTCTGAATAAGTTGATCATTCTCAGTTATAAACCAGTCGTATTATGAAATGTAATAACAGCGTCGTTCAACTGTACCTGTAGGAATTGATAACTTAACCTAAGTCTAACAAGGCAAAAGGTAGTACCCATTAGCTTACTAGGGACTTCACTAGCGCATTCCATCACAGGTCGAAAGTCTTACCATATATGAAAGTGAAGATAGCTTTTGTTACCTGATGAACTTATTGTCTAACATTAGCCAAATTGCCATCAGGATGTTATGATAAACAAACGGTGGAAACAAATACATCGTGATTATTGAAGGTCTGGAGAAGCAACAACTGTCGCTTAAAACTGCAAGGCAGACGAGTGATCTACTTAAGTGAGAGCAAAGCACACCTTTTAACATCAGGAGGTACTGTCACTGCAGAAAGGAACTGACAAAGATATTTCTCTTTGGTGTCACGACCTTGTTTAACAGTATTATAAGAAAAAAAAAACAAAAACGGTGCATTATATTTGCCAACAACTGGACTAACTTCGACACAGACATCGTACTGTTCTGCATGTATTCAGGGGCTGTGTTAGAACCATTGCTTAATGTGGAATTAGCCAAATCAAAACCAGGGGAAAATTTTATTACGACGTGAAGTATACAGCTCTGCCCTCGACTGGACCATAACTAATGAACAGAATGCAAAAACTCAAGAGCTTTCATTATGTATAAACATATATAAGATTAATTAATTATTTCTAATTTGTATAGATCATTGAATAATCCTTTGCCTTCCCGGCAAGTGGGTATTTGGCATTCGATGTGTTTTTTAAGTCAGAAGTAGTGTGGAAATTCGTGTGATTTTGGATTTTCTTGGCTGTTTGTTTCCTTATGTGATGCCGTTGGAATTTCGAGCTTATTGAGGTTGAGGGAGAGAGGAAGGGATAGTTGGGAGAGGGGGAGTGAGAGAAATTGCGAGAGAGAGAAGGGAAGAAAGAGGGAGAGGGAGAGGGAGAGGGAGAGAGAGAGGGAGAGAGAGAGGGAGAGAGAGAGGGAGAGAGAGAGGGAGTGAGAGAGGGAGTGGGAGAGGGAGTGGGAGAGGGGGTGGGAGAGGGAGAGGGAGAAGGAGAGGGAGAAGGAGAGGGAGAGAGAGAGTAAGAGTGAGAGTGAGAGTGAGAGTGAGAGAGAGAGAGAGAGAGAGAGAGAGAGAGAGAGAGAGAGAGAGAGAGAGAGAGAGAGAGAGAGAGAGAGAGAGAGAGAGAAAAGAACAGAAGAGAAGAAGAAAGGGACAGATGGAGACCGACAAAGACAGACAAAGACAAAGACAAAAAAAAAAGAAAACGGAATAAGGAAAAACAGAAAGTAAAGAAAAAAAAATGAGACGAAATCCTCTCTCGCGCATCCTTAAAAACACAATAGCTTGAGGGACGCGTGAAAATACCAGCCTCCAGTTTCCGTTACGCGTGGCGTCGCTCACCTCGCCTGCGTTATCTTAATATCTATGATGGAGTCGACTACTCTCTTTGCAATGAGAGGGGCGTCTGTTTATTAGTTTGGTGTGTGTGTGTGTGTGTAGTGTGTGTGTGTGTGTGTGTGTGTGTGTGTGTGTGTGTGTGTGTGTGTGTGTGTGTGTGTGTGTGTGTGTGTGTGTGTGTGTGTGTGTGTGTGCTTGTGTGTGTGTGTGTGTGTGTTTGTGTAGTGTTTGTGTGTTTG